AGAATTCCCGCGAAAAAGGGACATCGTGGAGTCCGCTGGACGTAACAGCCCAGAGAACGTAGGTTTCCGATACCAATTAGTTATCAGTGTATTGCCGTTCCTGATAACAGTCGTGTCGAGAAAGTTAAGCGACGCGTTTGTTTCAGTTTCGTACGTGAATTTGAGTCTGGGATGATACTCATTGAAAACCTTTAATATCAAGCCCACGCTTGTTTTGGGGACAACCGCAAAAATGTCATCTACATATCTAAAAAATATCGAAATGTTAAGATTTAAAAGGTTTAAGCAATACGTCTTTAAGACATCCATAACAATATCAGCAGCATCTGGAGATAAAGGAGATCCCATAGAGCTACCGAAAATTTGTTCATAAGTTATACCATTAAAACTAAAATAGTGGATAATAAAATAAGGTCGATTGCGTGTAAAAATTGTGGTAAATTGAGGTCAGTTTTCATGGAAATGTAGTCCCACCTTTTTTCTATTTCTTTTAAAACTAAATCTTTAGAATAGTCCGTAAATAATGCCGTAACATCTAGTGAAATGAGTATTTCGTCATCTTTAATTTTCTTGTTATTAATGAACTTCGCAAAGGACTATCTTTTATATGTGATTTAGGTTTCGGGATAGAAGAGTGTAAGATCTTTTGGAGGAAACTAACAACATTATAGAGCGAGCTTCCTAACCTGAGACGATAATGCGTAAAGGGAAACCCGCCTTATGAATTTTTGACAGTCCGTAAGCTCTTGGTAGATTTTTATTGGTACAATTTAGTTTTCTATATACATAGTCACTGATGATGCCATTATCATGCCAAGATTTAACCAACTCATTAATTTTGGATGTGATTTTATTTATATGATCCTTCTTTAATTTTTTGTAAGTGGTTTGGTCGCTAAGCATTTCAGTCATTTAATTTACATAAGCATTCTTATGTAAACCAAGATGACAGTTACTTAGCCTTATTTATCGGCTTTGGTGACAAGGACATCATCATTATCACGTAAGAATTTTTTGCAAAGTGTAAATTTTTTTGTGAAATATCTGTCGATGTGGTTAACGTGTCTATTTATACTGAAAAATTAATTTTTAAAATACTGAACAATTTTATCGATAGCCCAGACCTATTAAAAAATATTCATTTAAATATCCCAATCAGGGACCTGAGACAATTCTCCATCTTTTATATTAAATATCACCGTACTTTATATAGGGTAAGTAGTAGTAGTAGTAGTAGTAGTAGTGGGAGGTACCACCAGGGTCCCTGTCGGCCTCCAGATCTAGCTGATCCTTTGTGCCTTCCCACTTGTTTTTTGCTAGGTCTCGAGATACAGTCCTGAGCCTTGTACCAGGTTTATCAGATCTGTAACCCTAGCATTTTCTAGATCCTGTGGAGTTAGGTACATACACCCCCAGGTTTTGTATCTTTTGCATATAAATGCCGGGCATTGGCATATTATATGTACGTTGTCTTCTTTCTCGTCTCCGCAAAGGCGACATGCCTTTTGCTCTGCGAGCCTGAGATTAAAAAGGTGTGCTCTGAGTATGGTGGAGTGACCAGTAAGCAATCCCAACGCCATTCTCAGTTTCTGTTTACTCAGCGCCAGTAGTTCTTTAGCCCTACCTGGTCTGCTGTCTTTCATCAAAGTCCTGGCCTGGCGGCAGGTTTTTAACTTCTCCCACCTGGCCAGGTGTTCCCTTTTTAGGCGACCTTTGATGATTTCTTTGCCTACTGCAAAGGGTATTCCCGTCACCTGGCCAATTGGTGCTTCATTAGCCCCCTTCTTGGCCAGCATGTCTGCGGTTTCGTTCCCTGGTATTCCTTGATGCCCAGGCACCCATACTAGCGTGACCTTATTAAGTCCACCTAGTTTTTCTAATGCTAGCATGCAATCCCAAACCAATGCTGATTTGGTAGTTGTTTTTGCCAGCGCTTGTATGGCTGCTCTACTATCCGAGCAGATGTTTATCTTCTTTCCCTTCGTATCTTTGTTTAGCAGGTATTCCGCGCACCTTAGGATAGCCAGTATCTCAGCCGTAAAAACAGTTGAGTGGCTTCCCACAGGAATACTCTCCCTGTGGTTCTCCTTCGGCCCGTAAAATCCTGCCCCAAAGCAGTCATTAATGCCTGACCCATCAGTGAACTCTTAAACTAACTAGGGGCGATCCGGCCACTAGTTAAGTATTTAAGAAAATATTCGAAGATACAACGGATAAAATTCGACTAAGTCCGCATAAAATTTTTTCAACTTCTATCAGTTCCAAAATAGACATTTTGCTGAACGCAATTTTAACGAACGAATTTTATCTGTGAAAGTATTTTACAGTAAAAATGAAAATAATTACAGTATAAATAATTACTTTTGTTTTATTATAATAACATTAATTTTATACTAAAAAAAATATAACTAAAAAAACAACAGATTATGTCTGAATCGACCTTAAATCGGAGATATATTCACGGAGAAAGTTCGTTATACGAAAGTAATATTAATATAAATCACGCAGCATCGATATACAACGCGTATTAAAGATGCAACGATAAGATTATCGTAAACAATAAGTAAAACGCATAATTTAATACATCAAGTACAGATGGTCACGGCGTATGGTTTTTTTGCTTTGTTTTTTGTTTGTTTTTTTTGTTTGTTTGCTTTTTCGTTTTTTTTCGTTTTTTTTTTGTTTTTTTAGTCTTATTTTATTTAGTTTTTGTTTTTGTTTTTCTTTGTTTTTTTTTTTAATAGCAAATAACTACACGCCTATAATTTTACAAAATTGTGATTCTCGAACGCTATACTACTTTTTGTAAATTGTGGCAGAAAAAAGCGCGAAAAAAATAGCGGGTTCGTGTTAGAGTAAAAAATTACGTTGGTGCAAGCACTCTGACTCCCCTGATACAATACAACAGTGCCCGCACTGTTAGGCCCATGATTCTCTGCACGACCTCTTTAGGCCTAGGATCAGAGTTCCCTAACCTAACCTTGGAACCGGGTGAGAAGTCACTCGTTCCAACGTCGACTTCTGATTGCGCCGCAGCCGACTTCGCGGACCCGATGAGCGATCAGAGGGCAGAGGTGCCGAGGACGGGCGTGATCGAGCCGACGAGGCCATTGACCCAGGTGGCCAATCAGGGGGAGCCGACCGTCGAGGAGGACACCGAGGTCGCGCAGATCCTCCAGTTAATACCAGAGGGTGTAGCGGAGGCCATTATTCTCGAGGAGGAAGCAATACAGCCCGCTGGAACAGGCGAGGTTGCAGCCGAAGCTACGATCCAATCACCGGCAGCAGAGGAGGTCATCGAGACGGAGATGCCCCAGAGCCAATCCCAGTTCACGGAACTTTGAACCGTGACTGACGAGACTAGATTCAACCCTTTTTTATTATTTGTTCGTGTGTATTAACATTTTGATTTAAATTTGTATTTTTATTACATATTAGTCGCAAGTTAGCGTAACGCATGCCAAAGAGCGAGAAGGATTGAGTTATATTCGATTTTATTATTTCTTTGAGTTTATTTAGTTATTTTATCGTTTGATAGTGACAAGTGCCAATGAGCACGGAGATATTATATTAATAGAGTTTTTATAAAATTTATCAGAAGTGTGACAGCGAATGCGCGAACAGGCGTAAGCGAGCGCCAATTATGTATAAGAGACAGATTAAAACGAGACTGACGTCGAAACTAGACTATATTAAATTAAGAACACATACACTGACCAATCCCAACAATCCTTATACCGAAAACCATAATTAGTCATTAGAGTCATTAAAGTCATTAGAATCAGTAGAGTAGAGAAAAGAGCCAATAGGAGGCCAAGGTCATAATTTCAGAAGGGATGGATTCGGATAAATTCCGTATTGTAGTTTTAGCATTTATTTTCATTCTATTTGCAACATCTATCATATGCATACTGTTATTAGCCTATAGACAACGGGTGAAAGCAGAACTTTATTATCTAACTTAGAACAACCAATCAGAATCATGCGGCTGAAGGAATACTTAGGGTGCCGTCCCATGGCGCGTATCGAGATACGCGCGTATCGGGCGTATCGACTCTGCGACCAATCACAGACGATCCGCCGTTTTTGATACGCTTAACAATCTTTTGAACATTGTTTAAGCGGATCGCACACTCACATAGTTCCATCGTAACGTACGTGTGGGTCGAGCCCTCCTTCTTGGGTTCAGGTGCCATATTGAGTGTAGAAAGTGCACTAGTGGCACTAGAGCAGTAGAGAAAAGAGAAGAAACGGAGTATTTACATACGAGGTGCGTGCAATTAGGAATTATTGCGATCTAATACACAACAGAATACTCAGGAGAATTTGGACAGTTTCCCGCAAAGCTGATCGTACGTATTCGATCGTACATATGCGTAGTCACGATGTTCCAATGAAATCCTGAGTGACACTGTTTTGTGTTTAGGTTAACCCGAATCGAAGGCCGACACAAGCAGGATTGTCAGATTCTCGAGGAAGGGCCGCGTGTTCATCGGACTGAGACACTATACGACCAACGCTATCCGGTCCGACGCATCTATGCCCGTAGTACATGCGGTTAAGGCGAATAGACGCTCGGAATTGAAGATTTTACTTTCGCTGGCCGCCCCCGCTTGCTCTCTTTGTGATATTTCTCATAGGCGGTGTGTGAGCAACTTTGGCAGAGTTTGTCTAATGTCGACGGCGGGGCACAGAATCACGCAGTCCCTTAGGAAACAGGCGTACGCCGCTATCCTTCAACAGGAAACGGCAATGTTTGACAGAGAAAGTACGGGAGAACTAGTCGGGAGATTGAGCGGTACGTTTCACGCTTTTAATCAGATATAACGCATCATTAAGGCATCGAAATCTATCATTTTGATTTCATTATCCTTTTTTTCCAGAAGATACACAACTTATTAGCTCCGCTGTCACGTCCAATGTATCAGATGATTTGCGCTCTGCTATTATGGCCATTACAAGAATGTCCATGATGTTTTATGTCGCCGTCGCTAGCATAATATCGATTAATGAAAGTAATTTGGTTCATAAAGGTGTGAGTGAGATTGATTTCTTTCTCGGCGCTGTAAATGAACGCTCGTCCGCACTTTCTCTGTATATTTCGTGTTGTGATACTATTCGCTGTAAAACGTATTCTCAATCAGTGATATATATTGTAATGATTACTTGTAATAAAAATAAATCTGATTAACTGAGTTATTGTCACTGATTCACTCTTCGCAAATTTATTACTGCTATCTTATTTGTTACTATCTACATATTTGTTATTCTAGACTATACTGGCTTCTTTGTTAATTAAACGCCATATCAGGTAAGCATTAATTATAACACAATTTTGAATAAATATATTTAATACAACTCAATTTGTGCGCAGGCATAGAAAATAAAAGAAAATAATGACATTAAAAGTAATGTGATGCTAATATAAAAATCTAGAACAAAGTAGAAAATGAATTACAGTAGAAGATAAAAATATATTTTGAAATAACGTTGTTGAAAAAAAGGCTAACATAATACTAAGATAATATATTATTATAAATTTAATTAATAATTAATTGCGAAAACAAGTTTTAGACACGAGAGTATAAATGATTATACTCCTCGAATGGGGGGAAGAGGGCAAAGCTCAAAGATCACCGGCGTATTTGACTCGGAGTAGGGATCTTGATCTCGACACTGCCGTACACCGATGTCACGCAAAAGTCACAAAAATTCTTCGACGAACGCAAGAGAGGTGATCCTCTTCGAGGAGAAAACGAGGGCGATCTGGATCTGAAACGTAAATCGACATGGTGACACTGTTCTCGGAGTAACGTAGGTGATTTGGATCTAGATTAAGCGGTGGCGAATACCTTGGCGATGACCTTGGCGATCTTTATCTCGACACTGCCGTACACCGATGTCACGCAAAAGTCACAAAAATTCTTCGGCGAACGCAAGCGAAATGATCCTCTTCGAGGAGAAAACGAGGGCGATCTGGATCTGAAATGTAAATCGACGTGGTGACACTGTTCTCGGGGTAATCTAGGTGATTTGGATCTAGATTAAGCGGTGGCGAATACCTTGGCGATCTCGATCTCAACATAGATTTTTTGCCGTACAACTGGCTTCACTTTGGAGGTTATGACGTTTGCCCTTTTAGGTGCATGCGTCACAAGCGTGTTTGTGTGCGTGTGTTCAGTACGCGTCGCCAAACGGTCCTACTGTCCCATGGAGCGGATAAAGCGGAAGCGTAACCAGCGGATCGTCAATCACGGATCCGTTTCAACGGAATCTTTGAAAGGGCTCTATCGGAAAGATTCTGTGATTGGCGATCCGCTGGTCCGCTTACGCTTAATCTGCTGAAATCCGCTCCATGGGACATTTAGGAGCAAATTTCGGCGTACCAAAATCGGCGGATCGTCTGTGATTGGCCGCAGACTTCGATACGCCCGATACGCGCGTATCGCAATACGCGCCATGGGACGGCACCCTTAGTCGTAACGTTAATAATCTTTATTCCCTTAATAATATCCTTCCCAGACGTACAGACAGTTACATTGATGTACACGCTTTACACATTGTATATTTTATTGCTAAGTATCGATATCGATCCGAGAGTGATCGTCGACGAATGATGAGCCGCAAATATAGAATTCACCAGAATGGACCAATAGGGTTCGAGATAGACGGTTTCACGTTCGTTACATTAACATTAGACGGTTTGACAGCGAAACGGTCATGTCGACCGGAAACGACCAATGGGCAGCGACCCAGTCGATTTTATTAAGATTAGCGTTAATTTCGATTGATTTGACAGTAGCAAACATTCTCGACGCAGTAACAGCCAATAGGAAACGATTCCTGGCACATTGATTTTATTCTGCAAGTTTTCAGAGTAGTTTACGATTTTGCGAGGCCCAGAGCCAATGAGAGCGCGAGGCGCAACCTTTTTACGTGATCGCGGAAAACCGACCAATGAGAAGCCAGAATGGCTTAGAGAAGCGAGATAGTGTCGGGACGCGTGATTTTGCTTATTATTATTTCATATTTCCCTGTCGAGAGAATGAATTTTTATTATATTTTTATGCATGTCATGTATTACTTATCCTTACCGACGTTGTCATTACTGGTAAGCCAATAACGTCCGTTGATTGGGTGAGACGATCCTATGAGACGCGGGTACCTGAAAAGAAAGGGGAATTAATAGATTTGATTCCGGTAGAAAGATTACTTACCTGCGATGTTCAGGAACGTCAAATTGACCATTCGAGGTCACTCGGAACCGTTCCGAGTGACTAGCCGCAAAGGTGCACTTTGTGCCCGTTGCGACGGCTGGCATTGGTTGCCGCATCGCCGAGGTCGAAGCGAGAGCCCTTGTCCGCCGTCCAATCCGAACACAGTTTCTCTGATCCGAAAGAGCTGGGCCAATCACATCGGCTCAGCTATCAAGGGCAATGTGCCGTGAATAGTAGGATCGTGTCGTTCGTTTCCGAGCGACGCGATTGGCTGAGAGAGACGGGCGCGCAATGCCGAGTCTGATCCCGCCGAAATAGGGAGCGGCGCGCCTGCGTCAGCAACCAAAGTGGGGGAACGAGAACCGTTTCTCCCGGACAGTCTTTGCGAGAATCTCGAGGCGTTAACACGTTTTACGGTAGCGCGATAAAACTCGAGTCCGTGATACTTATCCCGTTATCGCCTACGATAAGCGCGAGTATTTACGAACAGCATTACGCAGGACAGTCTACGGATCGATCTCGAGGCGTTAACACGTTTTACGGTAGCGCGATAAAACTCGAGTCCGTGATTCTTATCCCGTTTTTGCCTACGATAAGTGCGTACATTAACAACCAGCGTTACGCAGGACAGTTTTCGGGAATAATTCGAGGCGTGATTACGTTTATCGAGCACGCGACAACACTCGATACCGATTACTGATTCCATTCGGGAAGGCTTGCATCGCGACGGCCTAACAACAACGCGACATTACATCATTAGCGTACGAGCACGTTCTTGATTGCGAAACGACGATTAGTCGTAATTATAAGCTCTGAATCGTGGACATTCGAATGAGAAGGACCTCGTGGCGAGTGATTGCGCGAGCGAGTGATACCGCGACGACTGAGAAACTGTAAACTGTGGAATATTAAATTGTTATTTGTTTATAATAAACAAAAGAGTGATTATTTGTGACCCCAGTGCGAATCCTAAATCCATTTCTGTGAATTACGCAACGCAGTACCAGGGCGTGGCCGACGGCCTTGAACACGTCCGCGGCGTAGAAGACGGCAGCCATTAAGCTGAGAGGAAGGACGGGGCACCGCATACGACACAGGTTTCTGTATTTGAGCCTGAAAATACAGTGGCGACCGTAATTACAGCCCAAGTAGTAAGTGGCTAGTATTTAGATATTTCATTGTTCATCGGTGATCCGGTTACAACCTAACCATAGATCCACATTGTGATCCCTGACTCCCCCCGGGTCAGACCATTCTTCTCTAGTTGGTATTCGTATTTTAAAATGTTTTACCAACTGGTATTTTTTAGGAACTCTATCTTGTTTTAAAGTGAAAGGGTGTTTCTGGAACAGGTCGAGCCTTGTGTGTCCCGTTCCTGTATTTCTCCATTCTCCCTGACATCTTAGTCTATAAGCTGTGTTCCTCGCTGCGTTTACTACGGCCAGGTC